CATCACTTCACACATCCCATTCCCTTCTAGCACTGATGATGTTACCTAGTCGGGTCATGAAACGTCTGCAAGAAAACCACCAAGCTCAGAGAGCAACAAGGACCTCCTCCTCCTCCTCCTCCTCCTCCTCCTCCTTTTTCTCTTCATCTTCCCCCTGTTCCTCCTAATCTTCCTCCACTTCCTCCTGTTCCTCCTCTTCTACTTCCATCACTTCACACATTCCATTCCCTTCTAGCACTGATGATGTTCCCTAGTCGGGTCATGAAATGTCTGCAAGAAAACAGCCAAGTTCAGAGAGCAACAAGGACCTCCACAGTCCTCTTCCTCCTCCTCCTCCTCTTCTTCTACCTTCTCCTCCTTCCCCTACTCCACACATCCCACTTCCTTCCAGGGCTGATGATGTTACCTAGGGTGGTGAAACGTCTGCAACCAAAACACCAAGCTGAGGGGCCCGCCAAGGGCCTCACAAGGACCTGTACAGCTAGTCCTTGACTTACAACCATTCATTTAGTGACTGTTCAATGTTGCGACTGCACCGAGAAAGCGACTTGTGACCATTTTTCATGCTTACAACCATTTCAGAAGAATTCCCCCCCACCCCACCCCCGTGGGACATGATCAAATTTCAGTTGCTTGGCAACCAATTCACGTTTACGACAGCTGCAGCGTCCTGAGAAGGGTGCGTGTGTGTGTGCGTTTGTGTGTATGTCACACCAAGTCACTGGCCAAGTCCATGGGAGAATCCAGACTCACTTAACAACCGTGTCACCAGCCGAACAACCCCCCCCCCCACGATTCCCTTAGCGACCGTGGCCCGAAAGGACGTAATGTCTTGCTTAGCGATGGGGGGGGGCTTCCATCGCGGTCGTAAGTCCGAGGACCGGCGGCATTTTCGAAGACCAGGCACGTCTCCCGCCCACATGCCACGGAAATAAATTGAAAGCCAGAAATGAGCTTCTTTTGTGGTCCAAGCCCCCCTGAGGGAAAATTTCCCCCAGGAACCTCCAAGGAAACCATTTTGTTTTTTTCGCCCATTTGGCTTGTTTTCCATTTTCAAGTGGGCACCGGGAGAGGAGGGGGGCGGGGGGGGGGGGAGTGGGCATCGCGTTTGATTGACGGCTTGAATGCCAGGTTGTTTCTCTCCTGGTGTATAATTAAAGCTGCTAAAAAGGAACCAGCGAAGGAGGAGGAGGAGGAGGACGTTATTCAGGTAAATAGCTTAAAAAGGAGACGGGGAAGGGAGGGGAGAGAAGAAAAGGAATGAATCACGGACAGCCACAAGGGCCGTTAGCAAAAACCGAATTATTATGATTATTAATTATTATCATCGTCATTACCGTGGAGTCAAGCCGGATGTTCAGACTGGGTTTGGCATCTTTGTCTACCTATTGAGTCCCTACCAAGGATCTGGGATAGGCAGACCTGGATGTTTGCCACGATCAACAACGACAACGATAATAACAATACTCAATTATTATTGTTGTTATTATTATCTTTTATCCATTAAACATGAAACTCAAGCCAACTGCACGTTTTAAAATGTATCATAAATCTCACTGACCACTGGCGCTGGTGGTTGATACGGGTTGCTGCCAGCATCCCATCTATCAACCAAGTATCCCCTTAAAATTATTACTAAATAATCATGATTATTATCTCTTTTATTCATTAAACAAGAAATTCAGTCCACTGGACATTTTAAAATGTATCACAAACATCATTCATTGGCACTGGCGGTTGATATGCATTGCTGCCAGCATCCTAGGTATCAACCAGCAACAACAACAACAACAACGACAACAACAACAATAGCAGCAGCAGCAGTAGCAAAGAAACCGAAGGAACTGCGGGCCACCCGGTAAGCTGCTGCAAAAAGATTGTACAAACTCGACTACAAGTGGCCGCACGACAAAGTAGCAACAATGGTACAATGGAAATATCATTTGCCTGTTAAGCAAGAACTGGTGGGGCCATAAAACAGGAAAAGTCATAGAAAATGAAAACCATTAAATTGCCAGAATCCAGACAGGCAGGTACCCGGCCACATAACCCCCTGGACTTAACAGTTGTCGCCAACAAGAAAAGACAGAAAGTCTTGCGTAGTGAATGCGGCAGTGCAGAACAGAAAGAACTGGAGAAGATCACAAAACACACAAAAACCTACAAATAGAAATAGAACAACTGTGGCAAGGGCAAGCAAGGG